CAAAGCTTATTCAAACTGAAAACTCTTTAAACTGCAGCCCCCAAACCTGAATTCATTATAGTAAATGTAAAAAAAAAAAAAAAAAAAAAAAAAAGGGCTGTCACAGGGTTGTTTTTCCTTTCTTTCCTTTGTTGTATAGAGATGGGGTGGAGACCATGCAAATTTTTATATCCATTCATTTCTGGGAGCAATTTTTCAGCAAGTCTACAAGTGTCTGAAGAATTTTTGCTGTCACCATTTGCTTGGAGTCTATAGAATTTAAATTCTCTCCAAAATTCTCTCTGTTCTCCTAGGTCTAGCAGCAGCATCTGCATATACTTCAGCATTTTCAGAATAACATATGGGTCCATGACCTTAGCAGGATGATAGCACTGGCATTTACAGTGGCTACTTGATTCTGTTACAAATAAATAGAGCTACCACAAACCAGCTACAGTCCTAATGAACTGTCTGGAAATGTTGATAAAATTGGTCCATATGATTTCTTTTGTTCATATTCCCATGGTGAATCACCAGTGGTGTAACAGAGGCAGAATTTGGCCAGAAAAGCCCATGATGTTATTTGGGCACCATTATTTTTTTGCAAGTAACAGGAACAGGTTCTTACAACAACCTTCATCTGGATTAGGCTGTGAGGTGCATTTGCAATGAGCTGGAAGCAAATGGAACAGAGGATCTGAATTCTAAAATCACTGGGTGTGTGACCCTGAGAAGAAAGGCACATCTTATCTGTCAGCCAGCTCTGCCAGTGCCAAACAGCCCAAGAAGTCTCACCAAAGCTCTGCTCTGCTCGTGCATTCATGCACACATGCATTCATTATGATTGACCTGCCCTAGGAAGGTCCATTAAGTGGAGCTCATTTCAAGCACAGATGGTCCTGAATAGCTTAATGTCTGTCTGGTGGCCAGAATAAGTGAATTCTTGATGGCCTTAGACTTCTGATCACATACATGCAGCCAAGGAGGAAATGAAAACATGTTTATCATTTTGATAAACAACCTCTCTCATTGCTGCAGGACACTCCATGTAACTCAGCAGAGTCAAATGCTATTAAATTGTCATCACTGTCAAAGAGAGAATGTATAAGTTTTGCTACCTGAGTCATAGTTAATGACTTCCACAATGTATAACACAAATCAGAAGTGCTGTTTGCTTTTTTTATGTTTGTTTACTGATAAGTTCAGGCTTGGCTGGAATGCAGAGGCAAGTTATAATTTTGAAGTGCAAAATATGCTTTTATTATTACCTCCTAGCTAGAGGTATAAAAAACAGAGATGACTAGAAGATGGCTTTTTGGCTTCTGCCAGGCATGCACTCAGACCTTATAGGTGATTAGACATTTTAAATCACAGCCTCCCACAGCAGACTCATACTCATGATAAAATATTTCACTCTGTGGTGTGCAAACTCAAGGTGGCTTTGTAACAGAGACAAAAATGAGCATTATTTCAGGAGTTAGTGTTCTCCAATTAGAATGAAACCTTTGCAGGGGTAACAAACAGCTGCCTCTGTTTTACAGCAGGAATGATCTATTGTTTCTGTAATTTTCTATTTGAAGTCTGTGCAGAACAAGGGTTTCTGGGAGGCTGGGGAATGTGAGCAGAGTTGCAATGACACAGAGAGTTGCCATCCTCAACATTCCAGGGTCCTCCCTGGCAGGCAGTTCTGTCCGTCTGGCTTTGGTCACATTTCCTCCATGCAAAGCTGAGGCCTCCTGAGTGCTCAGAAAGGATCAGCTGTTCTCACCATCAATTCCTGCTGGTGTTTGGTGTGAAGAAGGTATAAGTCATGACAGGACATTTTCATTCACCTCTGAAGCTTCTTGAAGGAAGTTCAATGCTCTTCCTGATCCACACGTTCCAATTCCATTTCCAATCTTCTGCTTTTCTTGGGGCAGAAAGAAATTATTTTTTAAAAAATGCCAGATGGATAAAACAGCCACTTCATGAAATGTAACTGTCAACATAACATTCAGAAGACATTTACTTTGAGGATTTTTAGGCCCCTTTCCTCTCCTTTTCAATTCAATGGCAAATCCTCTATTGACTTGAATGGGTTGGATGAGGCTATTGTTGTGAAATCAAAGCCAGAAGCTACTGTAGCTCAATAGACCATAAACTTCAAAAAACAGAGACATTTGTGGGGCTTATGACAAGGATTCAAACTTTTGCTGCACTCACAGCCTATCAGGTCAATAATTCCCATTTTTTTCAGAACTCCCAGCCATGTAATATCTTGCCAGGTCTTCCCATGATCCACATGAACCATTAAGGAAAAAAAAAAAGGCTCAGGAAATTCATCAGATATTGAATTAGAGTATTTCTTGGTGCTCTCCAGCCCCCTCCCCCTAAAGAAGAAAGTGGGAAACAAAAAAAATCACAGAACGCAAAGGTATTTCACATATCCATCTGAACACATTGAGTGATTTTCAGTGGAAACTGAAGATGGATTTGTGTCCCTCTCCCCACTCAATTAATTTCCTCATTTATGCAGCTGAAGTAGATTTAAATAGAACCTCCCACCCTCAATATATTTGTGGTATATGTGTTTCTGTGAATGATGTAGTAAGGAGCATGCTTTTTCAATGAGGTTTTTTTCCTATTCTCACTGTGTCCATTTATATCTGTCTCTATTGCCATTTTGTATATGACTTTTTAAAAGTCTCACTTGTACATGCATGGTTGGTAAAAATCCATACAAGAAAACACATTGCATGCAATGCTGCCCAGTAGGCATCCATAGGCTAAATATGCTTTAATGCAAATATCTGATCCCACTTAACAGATTTTTCAGGAAAACAGGCTGTATAACCTCCAGAATTTTCTCCATGTGAGGTGGATTTTTTCTTCTCTGTCAGCACTGGAAGGGGTCTTTCTATTATTATTAATATTTGCATACTTTTATAGACTATGTAGATAAAACTTCCAATTAATGTATTTGAATTTTTAGCAGTTTAAAAAATGGTTTTTCATTGCTTTTATAGTGTCATTATGTTTTGCCCCTCCTAAACAATTACACACTTTGAGCTAAATTCATTACTGCTCCAGCAACTTGAGCTTCCACATAACAATTAAAGGTGTTATGAAGCTCTTCCACCACAACCCATTATTTTGAATAGATAACCAAATAAGCAAGACTAAGTCATGTGGTTCTTATACATACTCATACAGTAAATTTATAGAGGAAATTAAGCATTTAGGTTATTCACAAATATTTACCACACAGTCTATGCAGTCTAAAATTAGAAATGCTTATTACTGTGTACGTTATCTTTATTGTTGAAGTTGCAATCGATAAAATCACAAATCTCTCTTCTCTTAGGGCATGACCATAAGATGGATTAAACCAATGAGAATCTTTTCATTGCTTTCAATACAATTTGGATAGGGGAACAGGGACTTTGTGTGAAGGATTACTTCATAGAAAATGCAAGCATTTGGGGCTGAGTTGATTATCACAATTCCTCTTACTCCTCAGATACACTCCAAGGCCCATTTGTCAGAGGACGGCTCTCTGAATTGTTGGGATCTCTCTTTTTTGACACCTTTTGGCTTTCAAAAAGCTTGTGTCAGCAGCCCAAACACACCTAATAACTAAGAGGTGCAGCAGCAGCATGTCTCTGCAGATGACTCCAGTGTTTACTACAGAATTAATCTCATGCTTGCAAACTCCCCCATATGAATTCTCCCTGCCTACCTGCCCAGTGCTTCATTTAAAATGCCATATTTGTAGAAAACCCAGGTACCAGGATGCACTCCTGGTGGGGAAATGCCACTGCCAGACCTCTACCAAAACCCCTTGTTGACAGCCAGATGTGGATCAGCATCTCCACATTTCTTATTCTCCTACAGCACACAGTGCCAAAAGCTCTCAATATTCTTTCAAAAAGAATGAAATCCAAAGATAGGATTAATATGGTTTGTGCTGCGGTAAAAGCAGCATGTACTTAATGGCATGAAGAAATAATGCTCTTCCAGAAAATCTTGCACATCCTGCCCTTTAGTGGGCAGCACATGAGGTTTTGTACTAAGCTGAAACAAACCCTGCCAAATTTGTGCTGCGATTTCAGAAAGCAGCCAGATATCTGTGGGGAACAGCCTGACACCATTAAACACTCAGTGATTGTGAGCTAAATGCAATCTGAACTGAGGAATGGAGAAATTACCTGGGCAGGGCATTAGCCCACCGTGGTGTTTGTCTCCTTGCAGAGCAGAGGTGAAGGGGAATGGCTCACCTGACACTTCATTTCTGTGCTCAGCATATGGCACAAACACCAAGCACTCGTTAGCCCAAAGCCGCCGTGGATCTGTCGATCACCCCCCTGTGCTCTCCTCCTAATAAAACTATTGCAAATGCTCAGAAAGAACAATTAGGGAGGAGACAAATTAAACCTGATGATCTCACACACAGAGGAAATGTTTCCTTCTTTAAATCTGCCAATCTAGTGAGTGGGAGAGCAAAGGGAAATGCTGCTGGGCCATCCTGTAATCTGGGGAGACTCTGTCCTTCCCTAAGGGCTGAGTACTACCGCAGAATCTAATATTTGAAGAAAAACCTTATTTCTAGATGGGTTCCTTTAGTCTCTGTCCTTGTATGAGAAAATATTTGGGGAAAAGGTCTCCAATATTGCAAAGCATAAAAACAGCCAACACAGGTTGCACATTTTCTGTAGTATTTTACCCACATTTCTTCAGGCCCAGACATTGACAACATTATTTTTAGGCCAAAAATTATGTGGATGTCACAGAGACTTCTAATATAAGAAAGGCAAGGGAACTTATCTACGTTTTCTATTAAAAAATGTAGTGTAGCAGTACCTGGCTTATTTGGGAGCACACAAAAAGAAATAAAACTGTAATCCTACCTGTACAGAAGCTGGGCAGGGGCAGACAGGAGCACGCCTGGATGCTTTGATTAGCCACTGCTGCTCTTCCTAATCAGAGTGTCAATATTCTCTTTTTCTTTTCTTTTTTTTCTTCTTATTTTTTTTTGCCAGAAGGAGGAACGTGTGAAGTTATAGCAGCACACAGATGCTGTAATAAGAATCGAATTGAGGAAAGATCACAAACAGTAAAATGCTCCTGTCTACCTGGGAAAGTGGCTGGGACTACAAGAAACAGACCTTCCTGTGTTGATGGCAAGTAGCTCCTCCTGTGTATACGTTTCTGTTTGTGTACCATCCATTAGAGCTAGAAAGCTTTAAGTCCACAGATTGTGCATAGGAATTTTGTTGTGCTCTTTATTTAATGAAATAGAAAAATCTATAAGAATAAGTATATATTTAGACTTTCTTGCTACTTCAGTGCATAGCTCTGTGCACATGGATCATGTTCAGGTTTAACTGAAAACTATTGCCCAGTATGGATGCTTTACAGATGAGTATAAGAGATTTATTATTGATAAATACCTGGATAAAATTATCCCCTGAGTCACTTCACAGGGCCCCTTTGGTGCCACATTAGTTTTGATTCATAAATATTTCAAAGGACATCCGCTATTCATTTTGATTTAATTAGTCATTTGGAAAGTCAGTGGCAAAATAACATAAATAAATGAATCTCATATTCTAGCCCTGAAATGAACATTACAGAAAACAGGAAAAAATCTTTGTCTATTAAAATCACTGCTGCTGTTGCTTGTCATGGGGATTTGGTTTGTCGTTTGTTTTTTTCTGAAGGAAAAGCACCATGTTATTTGTGTCTGGGTTTCATATGAGGTTTAGCTCCACAGGGTGTTTTCCTCTCTGGGGCTCCCCTGCCAGCAGTGCAAGGTGAAACCACGGAGCAGTCAGGGGGAGAGCCACAGCTGGGAAGTGCTTAGCAAAATATAAATCTCATAAGAAGATGGGGAGTAAGTGGTACTAATCCCATTAGTTACCCTTCCCAAACAAGCTGCTCTCTGCTGCAGCATCCCTCAGTGCAGCAGCTTTGTGGAATGGAGTATCTTGTAAAAATCCCTCACTGTTCTTTTTGGTGAATGTTGTATTGTTTGTGTCAGCCCACAGGTGCTTCAGAGTGCCACAGGTTGGTTTTGTGCAGCATTGTAGGCTCTCCTCACTCTTTCCAAGTTGGAATCCCATGGGTGGTGGTGTCTCTGCCAGTTTTGGGAGCACCCAAAGTTTTCTTTTTGTGTCTGTGTTTGGCACTCAGCTTCACCCCAGGCGAGAGTGGGGAGCTCTGCAAGAAAATATTGGGAAAAACATTCTCTTCTGGGTACCTTTCCTCAATCCCAGGCTGCCAAGGCATTAGAATGGAGCAGGGAGTGGTCCAGTGTACCTCAGACAGGAGTTGTAGTTAGGCAGGAATATTGGTGGGTGTTGTGGAAGGGAATATTGTGCAGACAGAGATCATTCTTGCAGATTTGACACCAAGAAGGTGAGAGATTAGGAACCCTTAGAGAAATGAGAATCTCATGTTTTCTCAGTAGGTATTTCTGGCATGTGGATATCTGGTTTATATATTAAAGATACAAAAGGAAATGTTTTATTATTTTAAAAACACATTCAGATTTTTAAATTATGAAGCAGTGTTTCATAGCTTGTTACACCGGGAATGCAATTCAGCTTCTGAACTCATGATTAAAACCATGCTATGAATGCACCTGTGAATGATTATGCTTTAGTCCACAACCTGTCATTCTGTTATTGCCTAATTACCCTGATGAAAAGAAGCTTTTCTTTTTCTGCTAAGCACACTCATAAAACCGTAGGTGAAAACTACAGCTGGTTGTAACCAAAGATCAGGCTGTACAAGCCTTGAAGAATTTCATGTTCTTCATCAGGTCATGAAATACAGAGGCAGCAGATAGAGCAGAGAGATACCATTAATTCAGCCCTCATAACTCTGTTCAGAGAAGAGAAGCTCAAAGAGTGCTGTGTGAAGAAAAAAGTCGGGTGCAGGTGTGGACTGGAGCCTAATTGCTCTGTCAGGATTACAATAAAGAGAAATGTTATTGTCTGGAATTTTGAAAGGAGTTAGGATAAAACAATGGCTAATATGAAAGTGTAAGGCAAGTCCCATTGAAGTCACTGGTGAGACTCAGTGTAACTTCAAAGCCAGCAGACATGAACTACAAAGGAATGTCTTCCCCTTTCAAGTTGGGTTGTAGTCAGCCCATAGCTGCTTTTGTAGATGGCTGGAGAACAGTTCAAAAGCCCAATATGCTGCTAGTAAAAATTAATCCAAGGGACATTTGCTTTGGCCTTTGTTTTATCCCAGACTTTGCTTTGTGGCTTTTGACATACTGACCTGGTTTAAGTCAAAACTCTTTCCAATTTGGTGGTTCTGTTCTTGTAAAGACAAACTCCCAAAACTTCCCATGGGAGTCCCACTGACGTCAGTGCTTTAACTCACACAAAGATTTGGGCTTTGCTGTTTATTTTGTGCATGAGAACATTTCAAAAGGTCACCTTTTGAACTTTCTGCCTTCTTTGTCTACCATATTGAAAGGTTTCAGGCTGGTTAATCTCACACCAGGTTTTATTTACAGTGCGTAAATATATACAATTTCAAGCCATAACGTGTCACTAAGAAATCTTGCTTGAGTCCTAATTAAATATCCACAGGTGTTCAGCAATATACTCACAATATAACACTTCAAGCAATGTACTCACACCCAAACAAAGGCACTTCTGAGAGGTGACAAGGACTGGGAGACCCCTGTGAGCAGTTTGGCTGTTGGTTGATCACCACCTCAAGCCATCTCCACCCCATGGCTGTGTGCTAGTGTGCATAAAGCAGGCTGAACCGCAGTATTGCCCTGTCAAACTGTGACTTAATGGTATTGGAATCAAGCTTTTGGTGCTTCCCAGTTGAATTTCATCAAAAAACACCTCCTCAAGGCTGCTGCTTTGGCAGTTTGAGTCCATGATGCAGAGGAGAGATTGCATTGCCTTCCACTCCTACCAACTATTGCTCTGGGACACGGCTGGGCTGTGTGGAGAGCTGGCTTTGTTTTCTCTTTCAGAAAATACAGTTATTTGTAGGAGTCATCTTAACATTTTTAATAAGTGTCAGGGCTGATGAATGGTCCTTTTGTCCCTTTTGTTGTGGGATCTGATCATGGGTAGCACACCATCCCAGTACACAGGGCTTGGCTTGCAGTCCTGCTCCTGCATGGGACAAAATTCATGTTTGTACTGTGCAGGGCATGAAGTTGATGTGTATTCCCAAGCATCACTCCCTGCCAAGTCCAGCAAACTTTTTCTTTGGGGCCTCATCTTAATTAAGTATAGTGAGGCCAGGCCATGGCAGCCTTAGAAGTCACAAATGATTCTTTGTATTCAACACTGTCCTAAAAGCTGCCTCCATCACCTGTGAATTATGCAGTAGCAACAGAGGGAGCAAAACAAAAGCCAAACCCTTGCCATGAAACACAGACACCATTTCTGTTTCTTTGCCTATCCTGTTGTACATTTACTTTCATGATTCCCTTCTCTACTTCAAGGTCTTTTTTGTTTGAAGGGTGGTTTGAAATGCTCCCTTCCCTCTCTACAATTTATCTTGCCTGCCACTTGGCCAGAGCATATACCACGGGCATCAGGCTGCTCAGCTCTCTGCCATGGATATTATTATTTTCTTCATTTGCCCAAATACCTCTCCAGAGCAAGTCCCTTTTCCTGGGGAAAGCAATGCCCAGCATTTCCTGTGGGCTCATGAAGGCCCTCAGGAAATCTCTGTCACTGGTGCAATTTCTCCTGTGGGCTGAGGTTTTATTCCTTTGTCATATCATTACTATATAAAAAAGATAATTACAATTTTTTTAATACTGTCACTTTTATACTGAGGATATTGTGCTTTGTACCATTTCCTTTCAAGTGGTATTGAAGCATCCTGTACAGTCAGTAGGTGGTTATGTCTGTGTGTTCTTCAAGGCTTGTGAATAATATATAATTTGTTCATCAGTACTGGAGTTTACTGTGTTACAGTCACTGCTCTCAGACACACATATTTTTTAATGCTTCATTTTTCTGTTCCCTTCCCTTCAATCTTCTTCCAGGCTATTTTAAACTCTTTCCCAGGCAACCTCATATGTCTTGCATAATTATCTGTGAAATTTGTTGGACCACAGAGTATGGAATAACAGAAAAGCACCTGCACTGGCTTTTGAAATCAACCACAAAGGAACTTTCATTCAGGTTGTGCATATTGCCAGTGCTTTTAGGAAATGAGGTGGGTTTAACACTGGTGACAACCAAGCAAAAAGGAAGGTGCTACTAAAATTCTTAGCAGTATCTCTTCCTCTAAATTGTACCTGTAAAGAAAGGCCTCTGCAGACATGTGAGGTGATCCCATTCCACATTTTCTGCAACACAGGATTTGAAGAATTAACTCTCAGGCAGCAGGATTAGTGGTTTAGTCTCCATGGTTTGCTCTTGTCCTGTTTTATACCAGTCATGCATCAGGGGAAAGAAAAGTCATTTACTGATACAGAAAAAAATAAAATCAAGCCAGTATTTTAATTTTTCACAGATTGATTTTGGATCACCTCAAGTTTCATTCCACAGTGTATGAAATATTAGCACACATGTGCATGCTTCAGATTTCTGTTAGTCTGAGGATCATTTCTATTAGTTTGAGGATCCCTAGCCACCATGTGGCAGGTTTAACATCCCACTAGAATTTACATCACACTTCATCAGGGCAGCACAACCAAGACAAACATGAGGTTACTGACCAGTGGGAGCTCCCTGACTTTTAATCCTCTCTTGGCCAGCACCTCACACCTCTCCAGTCGTGCTGCTGGATAATTGGTGCTGCTCATCCTTATTTTTCCACATGCAATAGCTGGAGCAGAGAGAGGACAGCATTCACAGCACACATTCCATTTGCTGTGTTTGCCCTGCTTTCTCCCACCCAGGACCCACAAACAAAAAGGTCCCATCTGGTCTGCCTCTCCCTAGGCAGGCAGTAAGTGCAGCCATCAGTTCATTTATTTTTATTTTTAAATTCTGGGTAAGACACTGATTGTGGAGCAAGCATCCACAATTCAGGAGTGTTCCTTCAGGACAGAGGGGCAGCTCAGCCCCTCGTGCTGGTGCTCAGCCTCATCATCCTCCCACAGCACTGCACCAGCTGAGGGGTGGGCAGGGGATGCACAGACACTCCCTGGCTCTGCCTGCAGGGAAAGCAGGATTCA